GCTGGTAATATCGTCTCGGAGAGCGAATCAGTATTTTGATCTCATGGTGATTCTCGAAGATCGTATTGAAGCCTGCCGAGGATGTTAATTAAATTATAGCAAGTATCTCACGCGCGGCCCTATCGCACAGCGCAATAATCACGCACGCGATGGGCGGTAAGAAAGTGTATGAATTAAACTATTATATGCTGCGAACGATTTGAGTGAACACCGTTCGAGAAGATCAAGATACCCCCACATGCCACACTCGCCTCTCGCTATAATCTCTGTGCGAATTTGAGTTTACTTGCAAGCACGGATCTTAAGGCTTTATTTAATTCGACCACCGCGGACCAGTTGTACAGCGTATCCATACAGCGCTGTAACTGGAGCGGCAGCGAGGTGTGGATCCATTTGGAAACACATGGCGTCGTCCAGCGATCACCGTGACCGAATTTTTTCACGACTCGTCGATGTCGCAGCTATCCTGTACTGATAGGGACCCTAGTTATGTAGCCTGACTAGGACACGTAGCCGAACTTCACTGCCCGGGATTATTTATCTCAGTGTCGTGCTGACACTATACGGGAGGTTTAGCAACGTAATCGGAGCGCTTAGTCTTCTCAGGCTCTTGAATACACTGGAATCGCATAAGTAATAACGGAACTTAGTGGTCCACACGACATCAAGGACATGTCGGTGCGCATAAAAAGATAGTACTGTATACTAAGTATGTATATAAAGCAACAACTGCAACCCGTGAAACAGCTGTCTGAGGAGGGGGAGTTGGAATGATCGGTTTGGCGAGAAAGACCCGGAGGGGAAGAGCAAGAGGGGGCAGAACGACGGGACTGGAGGCAGATATAGAAAGACCAGGCGCAGAGGAAGAGGGGGCCGATAAGACAGGAGGAGGCAAACAACAAGAAGCGCACGAGAGGAAAGACTGGCAGGACGGGAGGAGGAGAAAGGCGAGGAGTCGAGGGAGGAAGAGGCGGGAGGAGGAGGAGGAGGAGGAGGAAGGGAGAAGGAGGTGGAGAAGCGAGGGATGGAAGAGGAGAGCGAGGGAGGAAGGGACGGAGGAGGAGGACGGGGGAGGAGAGCGGAGCCGAGGACGGAGGAGGGAGGAGGCAGAAGACGGCAGGGCGGGAAGGCGACGAAGCAGAGGGGAGGAGAGGAAGAGAGACGCCGCGAGCGAGGAGGAGGAGGAGCATGGGGAGGAAGGAGAGGGAGGGGGGAGGTGAAGAGAGGGGAGGAGGAGGAGAAGAGGAGAGAGGAGGAGGAGGAGGACGGAAGGGAGGAGGCGAGGAGTATAATAAAAATAACACCCCTTACCAAAATGTATATGACATTCACATGGCTGAATGCTCGCACCGGTTGCGAGCACAGAGCCACCCATCCCCGATCCTCGCCGTCGACATCATCGCCTCCCTAAACAAGTTTTTCATTTCATTAGGAGAGCGCTCTAGCAGGACCTACAACAGTTAACGCCGCCGGCAAATTGTTTATATGCCAATTGACTATTTCGTGCTCTAGAAAAGGCATTTTTGAGGGCTGTTTTTTTTGACGCGGCGAAATTCGTAGACGGAGGAGGGGGCACGTTGAAGAGGCATGCCGAATAATTGTGACATTATGCACTGCAGTGACACTTGTAATCATACTGTTCTTACGACGTGTTGAATGTCTAGCTAGACAGGGAGGCCGGTCGCTCAAACAAGATGCGCGGCTACATTGCGATGTATTAGGAGAAGTGGTTGACGTGGTTGGCGTTTAGATCAGATTAGAGCGGATTGGCGAGAGGTGAGTGAGTGAGACGGAGAGAGAGGAGAGAGACGAGGAGAGACGTCGGGCGTGATGTGGTGGGAATGGAGGGGGAGGATGACGGACGGGTAGGACGTAGTCTGTGGGAGACCCGTAATGGTGCGGACCAGGTTTTATGTTTGTCAGGAGGAGATTGGGGGAAGACTAGAGAAGTGATGACTGGATTTTTACGAATGGACCTCTTGTGGACGTCTAAGGAAGAGCTATTAGAAGGTAACAATTGGTCTTCGTGTGTAGTGTGATGACATTCCGTCAGGGTGGCGTTAACGCAGCCGGGTTGGTCATTTTTTGATTTTGTAATCGTTGTTGCAGACTACTTGTAGCAGAAGGAATTCGCATCATAGGAGCTGCGCCAATGGTTCCTCCGAGCGGAGCAATAAGGAGCAGAGATGGCGAACACTGATTTTAGCCTGAAAATCATGCAAAACATTTGGGAGAGAGAGTGAGAGCGGAGAGGCGGATAATTAAGGGAGAGAAAGAGGGGTAAGAAAGTGGGTGGGAAGAGAAAGAAAGGGAAGTACAAGAGAAGAACACAATTACAGTTTTTGGCATTTTGCAGCGTCATTGCGTGAGCGCACCACGTGATCAATTAATTATTCGCGGGGAATGAGATGAAATCCGTATGGCGATCCACGATTTACTCACAAATTAGTGCTCAATGGAAGCTGAAATATTGTCGTCTGAATTCCGAAAATGATTTACTCTGTGGAGAGTTGTTGACACGAATGTTCGCAACGTGTTATGTTTAGTTTGGATTTACAGTACATACTTCTCAAATGCTCTATAATTCAGAGGGCTAGGGCACCTCGTGAATATTTATATAGCCAATGTTTGCTGCCTAAATTATTTTTATACGGACAAGAATGTACGTATTATTATGAATGTGTTGGAACTTACGGCGGTCCTTATTGACAATGACACCCTGACATACCCGTATGTAAAAATGGCAGCTCCCACAAAATAAGTGCAAATTTATATTGCTGAAATAATTTCGTTATTTATTGGGAAATCATTCGCAAAAATGGGAAATAGTGGAACCCGCATGTTTGGGAAGATTTTCTCATCATTTTCTGGGAACAGCGACCATAGTGACAGCTGTGACAGCGAACAACGTTTATCCAAGTCGAAATTATGTGGTACGCCGTTCGTGTACACACGCAGAGGGTATGTGCTTCGTTTGGCATTATTGTACCCCGACATGCGATACTAGTAATTACTAGTAGTAGTAGAGCCAGTTCCTTAATCGGTTGTTGTTGTTGTTGTTGTTGTTGTTGTTGTTGTTGTTGTCGTCGTCGTCGTCATCGTTGTTGTTGTTTTTATTGTTGTCGTCGTCGTCGTCGTCGTCGTCGTCGTCGTAGTCGTTGTTGTTGTTCTGGTTCTTCTCTTGTTATCATGCCAAAAACTTCTTCATAGTCAAGATCAAACGGTTCAGGCCTAGGCTATAGTATTGCTATCGTTCAGACACTATGTCAGTATGTCGTAACACCTAACCCGACCAGGCTGTGAGAGACTAATAGTAATGTCAATACACGGCCTGGCATCCAGGCATTAGAAAATCCTCTGCTTCTGTTAAAAAACTAGCTCTAGTACTATAGCCCGCGTACAGTTGCCACTGTGCTATAGAACGAGCCATTAGGAATGCGCGGGACCAACTTAGACGCGCTTATACCCGCCTATAAAACGTCTGTGGTAGGCAATTAATGCCTCTTATCCGAAGTGAATATGCCTTAAGTTATATCAGCTACTAAAATTTAACCTGTAACTATCGTTGAAATGGTTTACTTGCAGTATTTCTGGT